ACAAAATGAAGGTTGAAGTCAGAGGCTAACAAAATGAAGGTTGAAGTTGCAATATTTAAGGGCCGGGGAGACGGCTCAGTAGGCAAAAGTGTTTGCCTTTCAGTCTGATGCCTTAATTTAATCCGGGAACCCAGGTGGTGGAGGGAGAGCTGACTCCCAGAAGCTGCCCTCCGACCTCTACTCCATGGCGCAGGCTTGCACACGCGCGCGCGCGCGCGCACATACACACTAAACTGCCTTTAGGGTTCTTGGTTAGGAAGCTCTTGAAAGGCAGAGGCAAGAGGCAGAGAACCAGAACTGTGACAGCAGGACGTGCTTCTCAGGGTCCCAGGGACAGGGCTCAGTACTCCATCTCCCTGGCTCAGGATAACCACTTGGCCTTGGTCTACCGTCTCCCAGCCACCTCTGCCACACTCTGGACTGGCCCCTTGGTTTCCCTGACTCCCCAACCTTGGCGTTACACTCTTTCCTTGTCTACGTTCTCCTGGCTTATTTTATGCTGATTCTGGCTGAGCCAGAGTCACACACCAGATGTCACACGGGTGAGGCAGCAATCGTATCAGAACCAGACAATGCTCTGAAGAGGGAAACAAAAAAGAAAGGACAGGAATGCTGTGGAGGTAAGTGCAAGGGATGTAATCGCTGGATACTAGGGGGCATCGGAGAGAGTGGTACCCTCCAACTCCAGCTTAAGATGATGAAGCAGAAGAGGAGATATCGAAATAGCTGCTCGACGGGAGAGCCTTGAGTCTGACACGCCAAACATGGTGATGGAGAGTCCAGGGTTCCGAAAGCAGAATCCAATCTCTCAGGAGGCAGAGGCAGGCAGATCTCTGAGTTTGAGGCCAGCCTGGTCTATAGAGTGAGTTCCAGGACAGCCAAGGGTACACAGGGAAACCCTCTCTCAAACAACAAGGAGCCGGGAGGTGGTGGCATACGCCTTTACTCCCAGCACCTGGGAGGCAGACGCAGGCAGATCTCTGTGAGTTCAAGGCCAGCCTGGTCTACAAAGAGAGTGCAGGCCAGCCACGGCTACACAGAGAAACCCTGACTCAAACAACAATGACAAGGCAGAGGCAGAGCTGAGGGACCCCTCACTTCCCGTTTCTGGGTACCTGGCCCTTTGTGATGGCCTTTAATTCCACTCCTCTGGGAAGATACTATTTTCAGCTTACCGACAAGGAAAAAGCACAGGGAAGTTAAGCATAGCGTCTAGGTGGCAGGACCGAGATTTTATGTAGGTGACTCTGAGGTCACCCTATCTGAGCTCTGTGCTGAGGCCATAGTGTGTGTGTACACGTCTGTCCAGAGGCCACAGACTGATGACTAGCGTCTCACTATATAGCCCCGAAAGTCGATTTGTGGACAAGCCCTGAACTCCCAGAGCTGCACCCGCCTCTGCCTCCTGAGTGCTGGGCTGAGTGGGAGCGCACCTGGCTCATGATTAGTGCATTTTTTCCATTGTTTTCTCTTAGACATGATCTCTTGGTTAATGAACCTGGAACTCACAAAAATGGCTCAACTGGCTGACTGCTGAGCTCAGAGGATCTGTCTAACACCCCACCCAGCCCATACACGCTTAGTGTGAGGATTGCTGTAAAATGACCTTTTATTTCTCTGTTCCAGTTGTCATCTCGGAGGATTATTACCTCTGTCTGCTAACCTGGGCCTAATCCTAGAAACATCTAGCCTCTCTACAGTCTAACCTGGGCCTACAAGGTTCTCAGCTTCTGGGACTTTCTGTTTAATAAACGTACCCCTGCTTGTTCTTTCTGAGCTCTGGGCTGCCCGGTTCAACTCAGCTGTTCTGGCTCACGCTCCTCTCCCAGCTGACTAACTCAATCTGGCTTTTCTCTCCGCCTCTAGATTGCTCTGCTTGGCCTCAAACTAACTCCAGCAATCTGCTCTAATCTCCTGGCTCCTCCTCATTCTCTGGCAGAGTCAGGAGGGCTGCAGGGTACTCCAGCCCACGTAGGTGGTTGAGATTTCCTGCCACTCTGCAACACCTGCCAGATGCAGAAACCCGGGGTCCTGCTGGGTAGGTAGCTCCCCAGGGTTCCCACCGCTGTGAAGACCCCTGGACTCAAATCCAGTTCATCGTGACTTGAGGAGGAAAAGGCAGACCAGGAACGGCGACATGAGTGTTTGATCCCAGCACTTGGGAAGCAGGGGTAGGCAAATTCTTTGAGTTGGAGGCCAGCCTGGTCTACACAGGAAGCTCCCGGGGTCGGGGACACTGATGAGAGACACAAATCCAGAGCAAGCCCCACAGTCAAAAGCCAGCAGGAAAGGGCAGGGGATGGGGAAAGAGGCCCCAGGGAGGGAAAGGAAACACAAAGGACTTAAATAAGAGTGACACACCTGCCAGGGCGGAATACAGGGTCCTAAGCAAGTGCTGGACCACTGAGTTGCACCCCAGCCCCAACGCAAAAAAAAAATAAAAAATAAATAAAATAAGAATAAAGGCTGTAGAGGTCTCCTCATTGCTCACTGTACTTCAGCCTGCTCTGCCTGCACTCTGGACTCAAACCACGTGCTGTGACTTCCAAGCCAGACTCCCCTTGATCCCCTCCCCCGGCCCCGCAGGGATGAGGCAGGACTTTGCTGCGCTTCCCCTGGCGGCTAACAGGGGGCAGAGTCCGGGGCTGCTCCCTTTTCCAACCCCCCACTTCCCGGTCCATCCGCCCCCAGCACCTCGACCTCCTCCATCCCGTTCCCTAGCCTCTGCCCTTTCCTTAGGGCACAACACAGAAGGAACAGTGAAGCAAGAGGAGGGCTTTGGGGGTTCAGCCAAGTGAGAGAAGTGGGGCTGGGAAGGAGGTCCAAAGAGAGGCCAGCCAGGGAAGAATATCTTCAGAGGAGAGACAGGGACAGCCGGAGGGAACTCGGGAAACACGGACGCAAAGCAGAGACTTAGGTCACCTTCAGGGTCCATGGTGACGCGGAGCAGCCAGTCAGTGTGTCCACCACTGTTGAGATCGGATCTTCCCTGAGGCTGGGGGTGGGGCTGCCAGAGAGGGGAGGGAGGGAGGGGCCGAGCTGGGTTAGTTCTCCTGGGTTAGTCCCTCCTGGGGGACTGGGCTCCTGCTGGACCCTCCTGAGCCAGCCTGTCGGGAGCCTCAGAGTGACAAGGGCTCAACCGTGAGCTGTGGAAATTCTGCCTCTTCTGGCACCAAACACGTCCTGTTTTCTCCCACTTCTGGCCCCCCTGGAGCACCCTCGGAGTTCAGGGCTACAAATACTGGGCTGCACTCTCCTATGAGGGTCAGAAAGCCTTACACTGGACAAATCATGGGTCTTAGGCCCGCGGTCAAGTCCATTTCCATTCCGAAGGCAACCCCAGAGAGAGGATCTCACCGTGTAAATTCACCTGCCTGTGCCCCCAACCCGGGGCCAGGACCCAAGTGTGCACAGTCACACCCAGGCCGTTCTCTTTTCATCTCAAATGCCTTTTCTTGTGTCTCAGTTTTCTTAGCTGTAAAGTGGAACAGTACCCACTGATAGTCAAGGAAGAAGAGCTTGTGAGAGAGAACCCCCCTCCTCTTCCCGAGAGCTACAGCTTGAGTGTGTCTCTCCAAAGTCAGTGGATTAAAAACTTACCTCCCACCCCAAAACGTACAGGTATTTGGAGGTGGGACCTTTAGATGAGGCCTCAGGGTGACAACAGTGGAGTCTGGCATCAGTGGCTCTATAATGAGATAGAGCAATGTTGCATGTTCCCGGTAATTCCGTGGCTCCCGGCTGTAACGTAACTAATGACATGAAATGAGAGAGGAGATAAGCTCAGGGTTAAGGTGGGGATAGGAGATACAGGAAAGGAGAGGGAGAGGGTAGGGATGTGGGTTAGCCAAAACTAAGGCTATGAAGAAGCATTGCAGAAATCCACTGGTTTAAAAGCTATTTTTTTTTTTTATTTTTTGTTTTTGTATTTTATTTTTTTCTTATCAGTTACATTTTATTAACTCTGTATCCCAGCCGTGTCCCGATCCCTCATTCCCTCCCAGTCCCTCCCTCCCTCCCTCCTCTCCACCGTGCCCCTTGCCAAGTCCACTGATAGGGGGGAGACCTCCTCCCCATTCATCTGATCCTGTTTTATCAGGTATCTTCAGGACTGGCTGCAAAGCTCTCCTCTGTGGTCTAACAGGACTGTTCCTCTCTTGGGGGGTGGGGAGGCCAAAGAGCCAGTCATTGAGTTCCTGTTAGAAATAGTCCTTGTTCCCCTCACTATGGGAAACCAATTGGTTACTGAGCTACCCCAGGCTACATCCGAGCAGAGGTTCTAGGTTACATTCATACATGGTCCTTGGTTGCATGTCAGTCTCAGAAAAGACCCTGTGCCCAGATATCTTTGGTCCTTGTGGAGCTCCTATCCTTTCCTCATCAGACTAACTCCCCTTCTTTCTTATGATTCCCTGTACTCTGCCAAAGTAAAAGCTATTTTTAAATACATAATATCCTTTAAATAGGGAGTTTGAACAGAAGTATTCTGCATGGGTAGACAGTGCTTTCCCAGAAGACACGGGCTACTAAATGAAAACCTCTGTCAGGGATGGGACACCTCCCTAGGAGCTACTGGTCAGCAGGCTCCAGATGCTCCCAATATAACACAGACCGTTGCCATTGCTCTTGCTGCCCGCCGTAACTATGGGGTAAGACAGCATTGCTGAAGATGCCACCCTAAATGCAGAACAGAAAGAAATTGACCTTGAACCGACCAGGAAACCCTCTCCCTGTTGACTAGCCTCCGTAATGTCCGATGGTGCCACGCAGACTTCTGGGAGAGAGAAGACATCAGTGTCTTACCCTACAGTGCCCCGCAGATAGGAGCGTCCTCTGCTGTTATAGTGGCAGGGCAGTTACGGGGGTAGCCAGTCACTTGTTATGTAAGGCTTGCTCCAAAGGAAGGATTTCCTGCCTGGTACTATAAACCTGGTCCAAAGTCCACGACTAGGAAGAGCATAGGCCCTGTGGTGGAATCTGCTGTTGTCATTCTGTTAAATGGCCATGCTGCCAAACTGCTTTTTAAATATTTGTGGTAATATTCATAGATTTGTGCTATTCTCAACTCGTGCTGGGTGTGCATAACTCCAGGTATAAATATGCTGTTAGACTTGTGCTCAGCTGCGGATGGGTCATTTACATTAACCCGCATCACCCACAGCTCGTGATGTATCGTGGAATAGGGGGCAGAAAGACTTTAAGGGCCAGAGGGGGAAGAGAGCTTCGAAAAGCCAGCTTCTGGGCATGTGGGTGCTGCAAGTATCCTCTCACAAAAGCTTTGGTTGCACAAGAGCGAGCCCGCCAGAATGTCATCACTGAGGCGCGCCGCCCCGTCAGAGGCAGCTGATAGATGCTGAAGGAGGGATAAAAGGTCACTCTGCTCTGGGAACATGGCGGCTGGCAGGGGCACGTGGTCATTCCCCAGTGGATGACCACACACCCACGTTGAGTATGGGCAGCGCGTATGGAATGTGAGTATGGAATGATACACGGTCATTCCCTGCTATATAGTGAGTTCTAAGCCATTCCTCCGTCATGTGAGACCGTCCCCCAAAACAAAGCAACAAACCAAACCCCCCAAAAAACAGGCAGCCTTGTCATTCACAGCACCCCGGAAGGTGCCCTAGGAGGCGGAGCACAGTCAGGGGGCCTGTTTGCAGGGCCAGAGGACAGCTTCACTAAGACACTGACATTTGAGTCAAATCTCCCAGGCTGAGGGGAAGTGTGATGAGAAGCCGAGGCGTGTGTACCGTTGGGACAGCTGGTTGTGGGCTGGCTTCAGGCAGAGCCTGTCCAAACACGAAGGCAGGCAGGTGGCTGTCTTGGCCAAGGGTTCTGTTCTCGCTGGGACCTTGGCCAAGGTGCAGCCAGGCTGTCTTGGTGTCACACCCCACAGGGTCTACTTGTAACTCACTGTTGAGAATGAGATGGTCACCCCAAGTGTCTACCCCTGTACGGGTCCTTCACCCTAAATTACCCATTAAGGGTTGAACTTTTTTTTTTTTTTTCATAATTTTGTTTCTGCTTTGCTGTTTCAGAACCGTGTGGTATATTCGTTTCTTGTTTGTTAATAGCAAGAGATCTGCCTCCTGTCACACACAGTCTAAGCACAGTCTGGGCTGTTTTTCAGAGCTGAGAGAGAGCCTCCATCCCTGCCCCAGGGAGACCTATCCTTCCTTCCAAGGCTTTGCCCACCCCCACTGGATAAACACAGTCAGGGTCAGAAATGGCAGTGCAAAGAGAAGTAGCAATGGATTCGGAAGATAGAGCCTCTTCTCATGGGAGATTTTTTTTTTTAAGATTTATTTATTTATTATTTATACAGTGTTCTGTCTGCATTTGTGCCTGCAGGCCAGAAGAGGGCGCCAGATCTCATTATAGATGGTTATGAGTCAGCATGTGGTTGCTGGGATTGAACTCAATTCCTTTGGAAGAGCAAGTAGCCAGTGCTCTTAACCTCTGAGCCATCTCTCCAGCCCCCTCATGAGAGATTTCGTAAAATCCTCTCCTATCCAGATCTTCTCTCTCTCTGGAATCTCCACTTAGGAGAATAAAGCTCATTTGAAGTCCTGATTCCTTCCGCCTCCCTCCCTTTCTTTTGTTCTCCAGGGCTTTGCAGTGCCCGACCACAGAGCTCTGTTCCAAGTCCCACAACCATGATATTGTTTGTTTTTGTTTGAGACAGGGTTTCTCTGTGTAGCCCTGGCTGTCTTGGAACTTGCTCTGTATAGACCAGACTGGCCATGTGGAGGTCAGAGGACAACTTGAAAAAATTGAGTCTGCCTTCTGGGGTATGGTGGCACATGGTTTTAATCCCAGAACTCAGGGTGGATCTGAGTGAGTTTAAGGCCAGCCTGGTTTACAATGCATGTTCCAGAACAGCCAGAGCTGCACAGTGAGATACTATCTCAAAAACGGTTTTAAGTATGATTGGTTCCTCCCACCATCGTGTCTGAAGGACTGAATTTGGCAGCGCAGGCTTCACGGCAAGTGCCTTTGCCCACTGAGTCAGCTCGTCAGCCCAGAGCCGGCTTTTGGGGTGTTCTATACCATGCTCAGGAAGGAGAGCTCTACCCTGCTGGCCCGTGATTCAGGAGAACCCCCCCCCCCCCCCCCCCAGACAGAGAGGCCTTTCCAGAAGCTCCTTGATGGCCTTCAGATCTTGGCTGTTATGAAGAGTGCCACAGATGTCCCTTCAAAATTGCCGTTTCATTTCCTCTTCTGGATTTATACCCGTGGTACGGCTGCTGCGTCGGATGGCAGCACTTAAACTTATTGAGGAGGCTTCATTCTGTCTTCCTGGCAGCTCACAGGAGGTGAGCCTGGGACCTTTCTCATCCTGCCAGTACTTGTCTCCTAACCCCGGTTTTTGTTTTTAATGTGTAGATACTTGGCCTATGTTGGCGCATCCATGCTTGCAGTGCCTGCTGAGGCCAGAAGAGGGCGTTGCATTCCCTTGGAATTGGAGTTACAGAGATTTGCAAGCCACCAACCATGTGAGTGCTGGGAATAAACCTGGGTCCTCTGGAAAGATGGCCGAGGCTTCTTTTTTCTTTTTTTTTAAAGACAGAGTTTCTCTGTGTAACCCTGACTGTCCTGGAACTCACTTTGTGAACCAGGCTGGCCTTGAACTCAGAAATTCATCTGCTTCTGCCTCCTCTGGTGCTGGGATTAGAGGCAAGTGGCAACCCCTGACCAGCTGTAGCCAGAGCTCTTAGTGGCTGAGCCATCTCTCTAGCTCTGTGATTATTTAACTTTTGAACTATTTGTGTTTCAGGTACTCATCGTAGAAGAATAAATATGAAAATGTGGTTGTATATGCAAGAGAATACTATTCAGTAATTAGAGCACTATTTTAGTGAGTGAAATCTTGTCATTGGAGACAGCATGGAGGAATCTGAAGACACTGCATTAAACAGAGTTAGCCAGACACAGAAAAACACTGTGTGACCTCGAGCTATGAATGGTGGCAGCACTTGGGGGCGGTTTGAATGAGAATGGTCCACATGGCCGACGGTGGTGGCGCACATCTTTAACCCCAGCACTGGGGAGGCCGAGGCAGGTGGATCTCTCTAAGTTCGAGGTCAGCCTGGTCTACGTAGAGTTCCAGGACAGCCAAGGCTACACAGAGAAAGCCTGCCTCAAAAAGCAAAACAAAGCAAAACAAAACAGTCTCCATACGCCCACAGTTTAATGCTTGATCCCAGTTGGTAAAACTGTTTAGGAAGGGTTAGGAGGCATGGCCCTGTTGGAGGAGGTGTCACTGGGAGGGGGCTCTGAGTCATGCATGCATCTATCTGTCTATCTATCTATCTATCTAGATATCTATCTGTCTATCTATCTATCTATGTGCATTAGCGTGAGGGCGTCAGATCCCCTGAAATTGGAGTCACAGACAGTTGTGAGCTGCCATGTGGGGAGTGAGAATTGAACCTGGGTCCTCTGGAGAAGCAGCCGATGTTCTTAACCACTGAGACATCTCTCTCCAGCCTCGGGGATTTGAGGTGTTGTTTTCTTGTTGTTGTTTTGTTTTTAAGATTAATTTATTATTTATACAACATTCTGCCTGTACACCAGATCTTACTGTAGATGGTTGTGAGCCACCATGTGGTTGCTGGGAACTGAACTCAGGACCTTTGGAAGAACAACCAGTGCTCTTAACCTCTGAGCCATCTCTCCAGCTTCAAGGATTTGAGATTTGAAAAGCCCATGCATGCCACTCTGGGTTGATACACTCTCTCTCTTTCTCTCTCTCGCTGTATGTATGTCTGTCTGTCTGTCTCTCACTGCTTTATGGTTGTGTCTCAAGATGTAAACCCTCAGCTGCTGCTCCAGCACACACCTGCCTGCCTGCCCCCATGCTCCCTGCCATGATGGCCATGGACTAACCCTCTGAAACTATAATTGAGCCTCCCATTCAATACCTCCTTTCATAAACTGCCTTGGTCACAGCGTCTCTTCACAGCAATAGAACAGTAACTAAGGCAATCTATGATTCTAGGACTTAGAAGGCTGAGGCAGGAGGATCAAGAGTTTGAGGCCAGCTGAGCCAACTAAACTGAGACTGTGTCAGTAGTGTGTGTGTGTGTGTGTGTGTGTGTGTGTGTGTGTGTGTGTAACAGTCTCAATTTTATGTGGAATGTAAAAAGTAAATCTCATTGAGGTCTAGAGTAGACTTTCTCAGATGCTGGGAGGGGAGTGATGCTCAAGGCACAGAGCCATGGCCAGGAGGAGTCGTCCTACCATCCCAATGAGCATGACTATGGCTCAGTTTGTCTGTTTCAGACAGGGTCTCATGTAGTCAGGCCTCAACTCCTGACCCTTCTGTATTATTCTCCAAGGTCCATGAGCTACAGGCGTGTGCTAGCAGGGCCTGCTCATGGTTCATGTCTGAAAATGATCAGAAGAAAGGCTTTTGACTGTTTTGCCACAAATAAATGTCTGAGTTGATGGCAGGTTAATGCCAGATTTAACTAGTATGCATTGTGCACCCCCATAAAACTGAGTAATTATTGCACCCCAATTCAAAATAAAATAAAAATGTAGCCAGGCATGGCTGAACACTCCCGTACTCCCGACATCTGGAAGGCTGACATAGCAGAAGTTCCGAGACAGCTGGGTTACATGTGGTAGGACCCTGCCTGTCTGAAAACAAAGCGAAACCCATCATTCAAAAGAAACCTTTTCTTCCTGAAACAAAGGAAACAGCATACTCACACAGGGGCGCACACCTGGAATCTCAGCCCTTGAGAGGTAGAGGCACAAAGGTCAGGAGTTCCAGGCCAGTCGACATCCCAGCAACATGTCTTAAAATCCAAAAAACAGAAAAGGAAGAGGAGGAGGACAACGACCAATAAGAACAAAATAAAAGCTGGGCGCGGTGGCGCACACCTTTGATCCCAGCACTCTGGGAGGCAGAAGCAGGCAGATTACTGTGAGCTGGAGGCCAGCCTGGTCGACACAAAGAAACCCTGTCTAAAAAGCAAAAAAAAAAACCAAAAAAAAAAAAAAAAAAACCCAGAACTTTGGCAGGATGGGGCCTGTAAGAGAATCTCAGTGGAACACAGGCAAAATGTGATGGGACCTGGAGAGAAAGAAGGGAGCCAAGAGGAGCAGGGGACAGTCCAGACAGTCAGCTGGACTCAGGACCAGAGAAGCAAGCACAGGAGCGTGGTTTGCGGATGCCTCCAGACTCGTTGCCTGGCAGCTTGGAGAATTGGCACTCACTCTCTGCAGAGGCCCCTCCTCCATTCCAACACTTTCAGAGGACACCTTGGAGCCAGCTCTGACCAGCTCCACAGCTCTCCTCGGGAACACCTCTGCCCACCCCGGGCTCTCTAAGAATCATGTTTCACCAGTGTACATTTTTAAAGGTTTATTTATTTTTATGTGTATGTGAGTGCCACATGCATACCCCGTGCCCCTGGAGGTCGGAAGAGGGCACTGGATCTCCTAGAACCGGAGTTACAGACAGTTGTGAGCTGCCATCCTAGGTGGTGGGACTTGAACCCGGGTCCCCTGGAAGAGCAGCCAGTGCTCTTAACCGCTGAGCCACTTCCCAGCCCCCTCACCAAGATTTTCCATAACTGTAAGAGTAAAGACATTTATTGTGTAAAACAAACAAAAAAAACAAAAAACAAAAAAACAAAACAAAAAAAAACACAGAAAAGGAAGATAAAAATCACACTTAGGCCCCCCCCCCCCGCCCCTTTTGGAAGACGACACACAGCTTCTATTACAAATGAAATATTACACATGTACACTCGCATCCCAGGTCAGGCACAGATGTCGCTGAGGACATTACAGTCTCTGAAGACATGGCAAGGCTGTCCCCAACACGAGCCGCTCACAATTGTTTCATGACTGACGGAGTTGAAACCGACTCCGAGTTTTACATTTCCCTGTTTCTGTTTGCCCTCTTGACTTGTTTATTTATCTTTGTTCTGTTTTTGCTTTTGCCCTATCCATTGTTTCCTTGGCTTTCCCTCTGCTGAGCTGAAGGGCACCTGTTCTACTCAAGGGCCACCATGATCCCCTGCTCCACTTACTTATATGCTTTTGCGCCCTCTAGCTCTCATGCTAGAGATATCTTTCCCCTTTCCTCATTTCTTCATTCATTCACTCACTCACTCATTCATTCATTCATTCCTGTGAATATGCATTGAGCACCTGCTGCCTGCCAGGCGCGTGAGCCACTAGGAAGAGAGATGGTGCCGGGACCCTGGGATAAGCGTCAACCTTCCTCATCTTCCTTCTTTTGGTGACATTTTTGTCTGTCCCTCAACTGAACACTCAAAACATTTTGACCCTATCCGGGCTAGAATCCTGTTGGGTGCTATCCACCATCTCTACCCCATTTCTTTGCTCCCCCTCCCCGCACGTGAAACCCCCAAATGGCTCCGGAAGTGGCTGTGGAACAAGAGGAAGTCAGAGCCCCTGGCCGCTCAGTTGGGTGACATTATCCTCTACACTGAAACTGGGGCATGCAGCTTGACAAAATCTACAACAGTTGCTGTGTCCCTCAAGGGACGATGACAACTCCCTTCTGCCATCTGTGGCTACAGCCGGTCCACACGGCGCCCAGGAAGCAGTGGGGCTGGGTTCTGTGTGGCCCTTGGGCGCCCACCTCAGACGAGGGGAGGGGGCGTGACAGCAGCTGTCCCTGTGCATTCCCAGTCTCCCTCCCTGCTCCCACCTGGGCCTCTGTCTCCCTCCCACCCAGTCCACACACAGCCGAATTCACACATCTCCTTTTGTAGGTCAGTCTGGTCTCAAGGACCACAGGTCTGTGACTCAACAACTTCCTCTTGCAAATCTCCTCCAGCAACCACCTTTGGACCACGTGCCCTCTAGGGCTGCAGTCCCGGCTGGGATCTAGGAGAGGCTGCCAGGTCAGAAGCAACACAATTATGGCTTGTCCCCGGCCCCCACGGCCCATCCTGGGGCCCCGTCTTCTCACTGAACGCTCTCTTATTCTCTTTAGTAAAGGGAAGGAACAGAAGGAGAAACAGACAAACCGAGCCCGTCAGGGACGGCATCAAAAGCAGTGGTTTTGCGCCACCCAGTTCCTGCGCTGGGCTGACCGCTGCTTCTTGCTTGTGTGCATGGGGTGTGTGTGTGTGTGTGTGTGTGTGTGTGTGTGTGTGTTGGTGTGAGGGAGCCTTTGAGGAAAGGATATGGCCGCTTAGCCGAAGATCCCACACGTGGTTACTGGATACTTGGTCCCCATCAAGTGTGCTATCTTTAGGGGGGCTACCGACACACTTAGGGTTTCAGCTGTGCCTACCCTGTCTGAGCAAGAGGAAGGGGCCCGTGTGCCCAGCAGTTCCTGTGTCCCTCCCCTTGGGGCTCAGTGGCCCCTGCCCTGCTCTCACCCACTGTCTGTACTCACCAGTATCGTTCGCAACCATCACTCAATCATCACGCTTGCACACTAACCACACCGAGTGGACAGCACAGGTTCTGGGGCTGCTTGGAGCCAGAAAGTCTCCTCACCCCTGCCCCAGAGGAAGTAACCAATCTCGGGCAAGCTCCCCTCGGCAGCTACCAGCCAGCGCAGAGTCAGGGCGCTCTGGGGACCCCACAGGCCACAGTTCGGAGGGCAAGCTGGACGGCCCCAACCCGGCTCTCCAGGCCTGCCCCAAAGCAAATGGAGGTTGGGGGGGCAGTCCCGAAGAGGGGCTCCCACTGGGCTAGAGGGTACGAGTGCCTCCTGAAGTTTCACCCCAGGGAGCTGGCTGGTTTGTCATTTCATTTCTCTTGACAGATCCCAACATCCCAAGGAGGGGTCCTTGGAAGAACTGTGGGTCAACCATGCTTTTCCTCGTGGAGATTCAGGAACTGGTTCCAAAAGGGAGCGTGGAGGAAGAGGAGGTGGGAGAGTTCGGGAGAGAGGATGGATGGATGGATGAATGCATTTGGTCCACAAATGTTCACAAATGCAGAACGTGAGGATGCGGACAGCAGGACCCAGGGTTAAGGAGCGGGGGAAGACCTGTTGCTCATAAGCATTGAGGTGAGGCCCTGGCTTTGTCATCGGAAGTGGGGGTTTCCACAGCCTCATCATCACTGCCCACCAGCGGCTCTTCCTCCCCCTTTAGGTTGGAACCTAGCCCAGGCTTCAGCTCCTCCATTACCATAGAGCCCTGGCGAGACTTTCGTCTGCCGAAGAAAGTGGTGAGTGTGGGCCGTTGCCCGGACCCCTCCGTCTCCACGGCCCCGGAGCCCTTGCTGCCCCTTGGCCCTGACGCTGCTGCTGCTGCCGCCGCGGCCTCTTCATCAGACACCTGAGCTGGCCCGGCCCAGGCATCCACCACCCCGTTTCGCTTGCCGTCTCTGTTCAGGGTCAGGGCCCCGGTCCTCCGCTTCTGCCGCCGGCGCCACAGCAGCAGCAGCAGCACGAGGAACGAAACCACCAGCAAGGCCACCAACATAGGTACCAGCAACATGCCGCTTGCTCCCTGGTCAGGTGTCCCGGTGGGCTTTGGAGTAGGCACTATGGATATTTTCCTCTTGGAAACCGGGGTGCTACCGGCCACACTGGAACTCTCCACAGAACTGGTTGCTCTGGTGGCTGGGAGTCCACGAGTCTCAGTGGAGGGCCCCTGAGACCCAGTAGCCATGGTGACGGGGGCACCAGTGATCTTGGAGCTTACTGTTGTAGCCACAGAGGGTCCACTGGTGGCCTTGGGGCTTGTCGTCATGGTGACGGGGGCTGCACTGGTCATCACGGTTTCTAGAGAGGTAAATGTCTCAGTGGGGTCTGTCACAGGATTGGCTTTGGTGACAGGTGAGTCACTGGCTACGGCTGACGGTTCTGGAAGCGACATCGATGTCTTGGCGGAAACTTCCTGAGAGGTTGTAGGCTCGGGTGCGGGGGTGGTCACGTTGGCACCCACCGGAATCCCAGAAGAAGCAAATTCAGTAGTTGCCAAGGGGGTTGAGGAAGCTGGGGTTGGGGTCTGCCCCCGGGTGCTGATCGTCTCCGTAGGGTCCACTGTCACTGGCCTAACAGAGACTGTTGCGTTGATAGTCGAGGCCTCGGAGGTACTTGGGACCCTGGTATGTGTCCCAAGTATGTATGGCAGCATCGTCGTGGGCATCGTCCTGGGCATCGTCCTGGGCATCGTCATGTTCTCTGGAACCTGTGGGCTCCCCGTCTGAGTCTGAACCCAGAAGCCCCCAAGGAGGAGGAGAAGCAGGACCATCTCCAGAGTGACGGGCGGGCGGGCGGGCGGGAGAAGGAGTTGGGACCCTGAAGGTAGGAAGTTGCAGAAGGAACACGCAAGTTGGGGAGGGAAACCTGGCCGGCCCCCTCCTCCTGCCCACTTCCCTGCCAACTGCCGAGCCCGACTTGTGGTTTAACGGTTTTTTCCATTCTTGCCTCCACTATTATCAGAGGCAATGAGGGAGCAGATGGTGATTCCCCACCCTGGCCTTGGCAGCTCAGCCTGCAGCAGCAGCCCCGGCCTGCCCTCCACTCATTCTGTCCCAGCCCGGGGCTTTTGACCCCTTTGCCCATCACCCTGTTCATCCTTTCAAACTCCAGGCACATTCCTTCATCCTCTGAGCACCCCCCCACCCGCCCGCCCACCCAGCTCACACTGTCTTACCAGCTTAATGGATTCGGCACAGGGCCAGGGCGCACACCTCTTACTCTTCCTGAGGCTTGGTCAGGACTGGGGCAGGGCGAGCCCCAGGGGGAAAGGAAGTGGGTCGTGGCCCCACCTACTCCACCCTGCATCCTGCCCCACCCATTCCTACTCCTACAGCTGCCTTGGGGGACCCCGGGGTTCAGTGGAGGCATGCGGAATGCGGATGCTCGGGGTCCAGAATGGGAATTTTCAGGTTTTCACCCGAGTGTGGAAAGGCAAAGGGTCAGAGCTGGGCGATGACAGACTGGGAGACAGCTATTTGGCCAGGACCCGAGGTGGTGCACTTCCTGTCGAAGCGCTCCCAGGAAATAACAGGGTCAGGGGAAGCACCCTTTCCTTCCCCGTCGGTGTCCTGGACGCTTTTTTAGGCTGCTGAGTAATGCCAGAACCACAGGGAGCTGAGGGGGCTCCGGTATCCCACCGTTTAGGCTAGTGCTAACACTGCAGATGTGGTCTTAGAGAGCTGTGAGGGCTGGGGAGATGGATGTCAGAGAGCAGGGGCTTCCCTCGCAGAAGACTGGGTTCAGTTTCCGCGCGGTGGCTCACATCCAGTCCTAAACCAGGGGATCAGACGCCCCCTTCTGGCCTCCACGGGCACCAGTACCCACAGGCGCAGACAGGCATGGTGGCGCCCTCAGGGCCTTACTCCTGCAGTACGCAGGAGGCAGAGGCAGGTGGGTCTCAGTGAGTTTGCAGCAGCCTGGTTTACAGAGGGAGTTCCGGGACAGCCCAAGGCAATACAGAGAAATCCTGTCTCGGAAGAAAGAAAGGAAGAAAAAAGAAAGATGATTTTCGTTTTTTTTTTTGGTTTTGTTCCGTGCGCCACCGCGTTCTGCCTTAAAGAGAGAGACCAGACGCCCTCCCACAGACACACACGAAGGCAGACCACCAATGTAATAAAATAAGTAAATTTAAAAAAAGGAAAGAAAACTTCTAGAAAGTCCCCTATGAAGAAATTAATCAAAAGTATTCAACTGCGTGAGAACTGGGTGTGTGTGTGGGGGGGGGGGGGGGGACCCTTTTTTTTTTTTTTTTTTTTTTTTCAATGCTGCAGCTTGAGCTCAGGGTCTTGGTGCCAAAGTCCTTCACGCGGAGCTGCTAGCCCCAGCCTTGAATAAGGGGTCCTTTGCATTCTTTCTTTGGATAATTTCTGTTACCTGAGTTGGGAAATGCATTATTTTGTTGTGTATTTGTTTGGGAGCCTTTCTTTAAAAAAAAAAAAATCATAACTGATTTTTATATTGGAAAAACAGTTCTATGCACAATAAAAAAAATAAAAATTAAAAAACCTAAAACAGGGCGACTTTCCTTTGAGGAGCCCCCCAACCAGTCACACTCTCAGGCGTGTCTTTCTTTCCGAATGCCTTTCTTTCTCTTAGCCCTACTGCTTAGAGATCTATAATTTAAAAATCTCAAAAAAAAAAAAGAGAAATTAAAATATCTATCTTTTAAAATCTCTCAATATACCCAAATTCTATAATAACAGCAAAAAGACTAGACTAGGTCCCTGGCAGAGCCTGGCTTGGACTGTAGCTACTCACTGATGAGCTAATCTGACACGAGACTCCAGGTCAGAGGCAGGAGAGTATTGCTCACAGGACGGCAGGCAGCGCGGGTGTTCGTTTGCATGGAACGCTTTACTGGAGAGCACTGGCAGACACAAATGGCCCAGCTTCCATCCTGCACCCAGTGGGTCCACCCTGGGACACCAGGCTTGGGGTGGGGTGCCCCATCTATAGCATGGGTAATCGAGCTCTGTGTTCCTTTAGGAAATTACACCTTGCTCCCTTTGAAGCCACACTAGAAATGGCTCGGGGGACAGAGATGGGGTCTTGCATCCTTGGCATCCCCAGCAAGCATGCTCAGGGCTGCTCCCAGCCGTGATCAGAGGCTCAAATAAGAGGGGAGTTTACAGACAGGGATCAGGCATAGTGGCACATGCTGTGATCTCCGTCCTATGGAGGCCAAGACTTTAAAAACAAAACTGAAAAAACCAGGCCTGGCAGCACACACCTTTAATTCCAGCACTGGGGAGGCAGAGGCAGGTGGATCTCTGTGAGTGCAAGGCCGGCCTGGTCTACAGAGTGAGTTCCAGGGCAGCCAGGGCTACACAGAGAGACCCTGTCTCAATAAAACAACAGCAAAAACAGCTTCACATTCACCGGCAGATAAAACGCCTTCCATCGTGGCTGTGTGTGCAGATTCTACACTCCATTGCACGCTGTTACCGAGTGTCATTTCAGAGAATATGCATACAGGATACGGGATACATTTCATATCTGCCTGTGTAGCGGTCTGACAGTTCATGGCATCGCTCTGGATGAACAGTCGCATAATTTACATCATTTCCAAAGTTTCCTGATTAAAACAAAACTCAGAAAATGGTCTTGATTTTTTTTCCCCTCTTCTTTCGTATTTTTATTTTTGTATTTTGGGTCGGTTGTTCGTTTAGACGAGGTTTGTGTAATGCTCAGTACGTGTCCGAAGATGATCTGGTTCTACTGCCTTTGCCTCTGGCATTTTGGGAGGTGTGTCAGCTACCCCAGTTTCTGTGGTGCTGGGGGTGTTACTCTGGACTTCTTGCTCTCTAGACAAGAACTCAGCCAGCTCAGCTGTATCTCCAGCCACGCACTGATTATTTTCCTGTGATTATTAGGTTTTACGTTGTTTTGTTCTTTGAGTAAGTATGGGTGTCTTGCTGACGTGTGTGTGTGTGTGTGTGTGTGTGTGTGTGTGCGTGCGCGTGAGCGCTCAAGGAGGCCAGAAGGGGGCATCAGACGCCTCTGCTACTATAAATATTGGGACCCTACCATCTGGGGATTAAACCTAGGTCCTCCAGAAGAATAGCCTCCAGCCCACGTACGGTTGTTTTAATAAGGAGGACCCAGGGATGACGGAGTGCTAAAATCCTCCCTCTGGGAGAGAGAGGCTAGAGAATCAAGAGTTCAAGTCTCTTTTGACTACACAGTAACTTCAGGCCAGTCTGTGATACATGAGACTCTGCCTTAAAAAGGAAAGGGGGGGGGGTTCTGACAGTGGCAGGGCAGGGTGGGGGGGGGGGAGAGGGAGCCAACAAGAAAGAGATGGAGAGAGGGGGAAGAAGAAAGGAGGGAGATAATTAAGGGAGCGAAGGAGGGGGTAAGGGAAGATGGGAGGGAGAAGGCTGAGTGTTTTCTTTGTCACTGCAAACAGAAAAGCAACCAGCCGTGGAGTTGACAGTCGTTAATGAGACGAAAAGCGTTTTAAAATTATAGAATATAGGGCTTGAGAGGGCTTAGAGGGGAAGAGCACTCACAGCTCTCGAGTACGACCATGTTTCAGTTGCCTGCACAAACATGGCAGCATGCCTGCCCTTTTCTAACGTCTGCCAGCTCTTTACACGCATACACACCAGCACACACACATGCGTGCACACACACACACACACACACACACACACACGACAGATCTGTAGGCATAAGATTATTGTGTAATTCTAATGCTGATTTCTCTACCCCGCCTTATCCGGTTGATGGTTTTGTCCTCAGAATCTCCTATCTCAATGTTGTGTGCACACAGTTCCCCAGTTGTCCCCTGATGGGCCAATAAAGCAGCTTACAGCCACTTGCTGAGCAAGGGAGAGAATAGGGCTGGACTTCCTGCCAGCCAGGGAGGAGGAGTTAAAGGAAGAAATAGGGGAGGTCCAGGAGAGATCAAAGAGAGGCGCTGGAGCAGAGAAGCCATAAAGTGCAAGTACTTCTGGGAGTTATGGTGGAAGTTATGGCTAGCGTAGAGGGTTAAGAATAGAGTAATAACTGCTTAGTTCTTGTTCTGCGAAGCTTCTTAAAATAATATGACAGAGCCTCAGTTATTTTAATGATAGCCATGGTAAGAGAGAAATTGAGAAACAAACACAATTTTATAAAAATAACTTTAACATAATTTTTTTTTACAATGTTTTATTTTATAAAAGAGTGAAATACAGGGCTGGTGAGAAAGCTCAGAGACTAAGAACACTTGCTGCTCTTGCAGAGGGCCCAGGTTCCATTCCCAGCACCCACATGATAGCTCACAACCACCTGTAACTCCAGTTCTATGATCCAAACCTCTTCTGACCTCTGGCACCAGGCAAGCACATGGTATATATACATACATACAGGCAAAACATTCATACGAATACAGTAAAATATTTTTAAATAAAAAGTGTAGAATATAGGAAAAAAAATGTTCAAAGTTTCCTCTAACTTGAGAGAGAGAGAGAGAGAGAGAGAGAGAGAGAGAAATCATTGAGGCAAAAAATCATGTTTGGCAAAATGGTCATTTCAAACAAACGGATGCTGCTAGAGTCGAGCTGTAGTTGGACGTTCCCAGCGCCGGGTGTGTGTCAATCGCCCTTGACTCAGGAGACTGTGGAGAGGCAAGGGTGGACCCAGGCCACAGCACTAAACAGACAGCGCCTGGTGAAACCGCTGGAGACGCTGAGAACAGGAGCCAGGGGCTCACAG